AAAAAAACAAATTCAAGAGTAACGATCTTTTAAACCTATATTCAACAAATGCCATGCTCAAAGTAAATACTCACTCCATGTTTCTGATAACAATCAAATCATAGCCCTTTGCTTCCTTGGAAGTCTTCACTCCTTCTTTGAACCTCGTTGTAAAACAAGTCTCCCTCCATGCTTGTCCCATCTCCATTCTTTTTTCTTCACTACTCTTAGAAAAATTAAAATGTCACCTTAAACTCACTTGCCCTTTCCAAAAATAAACTTAAATTTCCTGAGGAGGAAATTTCCAGCCTGGATCCAGTTCCAGGTTCCATGGTTCATAAGCAGATGGCCACAACTAAAAGAAAAATAACTTTGAAAAGGGTGCTAAGAATAGAACAATCTGCTCCTACATGGAAACTCTTTTGAACATGTAGCTTTTGTAGTTTCTTCTTTATTACTTTAGTCAAACAAGCGCAAGGGGAAGAATTTCTTCCTCCTTGTGCCTCAGGTTTCAGTCTATTTGATGAAGAAGAATTTGTGATTGAACTTCTTTCTCATTTCTTTACCAACTTTGGCAGAATTTTTCTAGCCTTGGAGGGATGTTCTTGATGAAGAATGGTTGCAGGATTTGGGTTTGGCTAGTCTAGAGAAAAGAAGGATTAGGGGTGACATGATCACAGTATTCCAGAATTTGAGTGGCTGCCACAAAGAAGAGGGGGTCAAATTATTTTCCCAAGCACCAGAGGGCAGGACAAGAAACAAGGGATGAAAACTAATCAAGGAGAGAAGCAACCTGGAATTAAGGAGAAACTTCCTAACAGTGAGAACAATTAACTAGTGGAACAGCTTGCCCTCAGAAGTTGTGGGTGCTTCATCCCTGGAGATTTCTAGGAAGAAACTGGAGTGCCACTTGTCTGAAATGGTATAGTGTTTCCTGCTTGAGTAGGGGGTTGGACTAGACACTAGAGGACCTCCAAGATCTCTTCCAGCTCTATTCAATTCTATTAATCTCCGGGGTGTGTTCAGAACTTGAAAGTGTGATGATGCAAGCAAGAAAACCATCCCCCAAAGTAAAATAATCCTAAACAGTGGAACAGATTAGCCACTTTCCTTTGCTTCATTCATATTTCTTTATGTATTTATTTATTTATTTACTAGCAAATTTATTTGCTGCCTATCTCGTAGTTCAAGGTGACTCTTCTACAGATAGTCTTCGATTTACAATTATAATTTTGAACTCAATTACAGATTGAGCTCAACTGTGACTGAGCTCAGAATTATAGTTGTATGCAGTTATGGTCATTAAGCAAGTTGCCAAATGACTAAACTTGAGTTGATGACATTTTTTGTGGCATTAAGTCATTAAGTGTATGCCACAGTTGTTAAGGAAATCCATTATATTCAATAAATGGTTTTGTTTTTTTAGAAACTGGACGTAAATGCAGGAAACCAGCAAAAAACATTGAAAATGTGGTCACATGACTATGGGATGCTGCAAACATCTAGTTTCCAAGCACCCATATTGCAATCATGTGACTTTGGGGGAATGTGAATATTGTAATCTTAATTGTAATTGCATAATCATAATTTGGGGGGGGGGGCAGATGCGTCATAATTTCTAACAGTTGCTAAGCAACTGGTCATAAATTGAAGAGCACCCCTATGTAGACTGAATGTGTGTATTCTGAGAACAGGAGTCCATAAAGATGGCCAGCCTTTCCTGAATGCTTTGTGAAGTAGGCAAGATCTCATCTATAGCACAAATGAAGTGAGGAGGAGAAATAGATCAGTCTGCCACACTGAATGCAGTGTTAACACTTCCACTTTGCACTCTCCTTATATTTACTTAGGAGGTGGCCAAGGGATATATATATCTAAAAGAAGAAGAAACTCAACACTTGTTAAGTCCCAAAGGAGCAGAAGACTACTACACTATTAACATGTGCTATGTCCAGTAAAATGCTGGGAGTTAATTTACACAAAAGCCCCCTTAAGTATTGCCATTAGGCTGCATTATACTATCAATACTGCTAGGCCCAGCCAGTGGAGAAGTCCCTCTCCTCCCTCTACATGGCTTTTACATTATTCATAGGAGAGTCTCATGCATTAAGAATGATATGAAAGGCTGTGTTATATTACTTACATTTCTGCTCCTGAAGGGCTGCAGTAGTAGCTCTCACTAGCAGGCCAGTTTGGGAGCGGGGGGAGTATTTACAACATCTTTATTTTTCACTCTGGAATTGTCTACAGAGCTAAGCCCATGCATAAATTCATGGAGGTAGGAAAAACCTTTGGAAGGACAATGGCTGCAGGGTAGAACATATACTTGGCAACCAAAGGAACTAGACTCCAAATTATGGGGTTCCTCCAATTAAACCCAGGTTTTCAAACTTGGCAACTGGAAGATGTATGGATGTCAACTCAGTAGGGCTGGCTAGAGAATTGTGGGAGTTGATGTTCACACATCTTCAAGGTACTAATACCATTCTATACAGCCCTAGTAAGACCACACCTAGAGTACTGCATCCAGTTTTGGTCACCACACTATAAAAAAGATGTTGAGACTCTAGAAAAAGTGCAGAGAAGAGCAACCAGGATGATTAGGGGACTGGAGGCTAAAACATACGATGAACATATGATGAACTAGCCATGACCAGGAACTGGGCATGGCTAGTCTAGTGAAAAGAAGGACCAGGGGAGACATGATAGCAGTCCTCCAATATTTGAGGGGCTGCTACAGAAAGGAGGGGGATCAAGCTATTCTCCAAAGCACCTGTAGACCAGACAAGGAATAATGGATGGAAACTGAACAAAGAGAGATTTAACCTGGAAATAAGGAGAAGCTTTCTGACAGTGAGAACAATCAATCAATGGAACAGATTGTCCTCAAAAGTTGTGGGAGCATCATCACTTGAGACTTTCAAGAAGAGATTGGACTGCCATTTGTCAGAAATGGTGTAGGGTCTCCTGCTTGGGCAGGGGGTTGGACTAGATGACCTACAAGGTCCCTTCCAACTCTGATTATCAAGTTTGAGAAACATTGATATTTTCTTGTATTACTATTATAGCATCCTCTTTCTCCTTCACATTAAATTTAATTCCATCTTTCTTGAGCTCAAAAGGGATATACAAAGTGTACCTCCCATGGTCTAATCCAACAAGAATTTTCTAAAATAGATTGGACTAAGTAATACTAGGTTGCCCAAATCAGCCAATGAGATTTATGGAAAAATAGGGATTAGATCCTAGTCTCCTTGGTCCCAGTTCAACACTTTGACTATTACATAGCAATGGCTGTTAATAAAAAGAACAGTTATCTGGATTCAAAACTTAGAATACTGTGGCCTTGTTTCCTGCTACTTAAAGGTGACAAACATAGCAAATTGATGAAGCATATTTTCATGATTTAATGTCTTTTCTGCTTTAATGTTTTATGCTGTAAGCTGCCCAGGGTTGTTGGATATGAGATGGGAGTCAAATAAAATTTATAGATAGATAGGTAGGTTGGTAGGTAGGTAGGTAGGGTAGGTCAATGGAATGAATGAAAGAAAGAAGAAAAGAAAGAAAGAAAGAAAGAAAGAAAGAAAGAAAGAAAGAAAGAAAGAAAGAAAGAAAGAAAGAAAGAAAGAAGGAAGGAAGGAAGGAAGGAAGGAAGGAAGGAAGGAAGGAAGGAA